TCTCTAAATTAGGGTCCCTCGTAGGGTTCCTCAAAGTGACCTATAATGGGTTTCTGTAAGGGTGTGCTTCAGGGGATCATAATGGGTTCAATACTATGTGCAGGGTTTGGGTTTAGGCACTACTTCAACCCTAAACCCCAAACCGTATTGGCTTTTAGAGGTTCTACGCTTCAGGGATGACGCTCATGCCCTAAGGCATGCGGGCTCTGTGGGGTTTGGGTGCAGCTTCTTTTCGTTCACTAGTTTGGGTTTAGGGTTTAGGGTTAGGGCTTTGGGTTTAGGGTTTAGGGTTTAGGGTTTAGGGCACATTCTCGCAATTCTGGAGGACCCCGAACCCTTCGCGCGGCGGAAGAAGGCCATGCTGGTAGACCCGAAACCTCCAGACCCTGGTTCGAGTCATTGGCAAGAGCAGCTATATGAGAAGATGTACCACTAGAAGAGCTGCCGGTAAGAGGTAGTGCTGCTCTTCATATCACCAGCATCGTCATCACCGCGACATTTCGGGTTTAGGGTTTAGGGTTCAGCTGCGTGGCTTTGGGTTTAGGGTTTAGGGCCGAGGGTTTGGGGCTGGAGGTTTGCGATGTCTGGGAGATGATGAAAAGTCCATGGGGTTTGGTTCTACAGTGTTCTAGAGATCTCGGAATTTCTGCCAAGGCAGTGAAACTGCAAATTTCTGTTCAATGATTCCCGAAACCCTTATCCCCTAAACCCCAACCCCCTAAACCCCTAAACTCTAAACCCCTAAACCCTAAACCCCTAAACCCTAAACCCCAAACCCCTAAACCCTAAACCCCTAAACCCTAAACCTCTAAACCCTAAACCCCGAACTGCTTTGTGCAGCCGGAGGAGCTCTGGGCAGGCATGGGGCAGCTCCGAATCTCAGCGGCTTTATTCGCCAGGCAAGGGTTTAGGGTTTAGGGTTTAGGGTCTAGGGCTTAGGGTTTAGAGGCAAGGCAGGCTGTAGACATTTTGTGCCAGTTTAGGGTTTCAGGGATTTAGGGTTTAGGGTTTTCGGGATTAGGGTTTAGGGCTTAGTTCGCAAGGGCTGATTGTAGACAGTTTCTGACGCAAGACATGAGCTGTTCTGGACTCCTCGTTGCGCTCGCCTTAGTTCATTTGATCCCAAAGAAGTACCTTGCAAAGTAAGGCTTTTGGTTGCCGCTTTTGGAGGTTCATGGGTAGTTATAAGTGGGGTTATAAGTAGGGTAACTATAGTTATAACCCACATTAGGGGACTTATAACTCCACTTATAATAACTGCCCATGAACCTCCAAGCGGTGGTCTTCGAGGGTCCAGGCACCCGCTAAACCCTAAACCCTAAACCGTAAACTTCCCACTTTGAAGGATGGAGGAAGGCTAAGGCTGGAAGCGCTGACTCCTACTGTTGATGCTACAAATCCTGCAGTACCTTAAGGACTCGAAACTATGGGGATGTAGGGTTTAGGGTTTAGTGGCAAATTCCTTCGTACATGAAGCCCTTCTAGAATGGGGGTTTAATGGCTGGGGGTCTGGGGTTTACGTTTAGGGCTTTGGATTTAGGGGCGGTGTTAAGGGGGCCTAAGCACCCTGAGCTAAGGACAACGAGTAGCCGTCCTGGGAGCAAATTTGCGCTTCGCACACGGCTCAGAGGACGCACGAAGGGCACCAAATTCACTAAATCCTAAAACCCAAACCCTAAACCCTCAACCCGAAACCCTAAACCCTGAACCCTAAACCCTAAACCCCAAACCCCAAACCCTAGACCCGAAACNNACCCTAAACCCTCAACCCTACACTTGGACCGGGATCAAAGCGTTCAGGGCTCGAGAAGGGGTTCGGGATTTATCGGCTCAAGACTTTCATATGTTTTGAGGTCTGTGTTTTTTTCTATGGAGGTTTAGGGCTTAACGTTTAGGGTTT